AGAGAGAGAGAGAGGAAAAGAGGAGAAAAAAATGAAGAAAGGAAAAAGAGAGACATGTTGCGAAGAGACGTTGATCTTGATACAGCACCTCGCCTCTCGTGATTTATGGAGGGACTGTGAATCTCCAATCTCCTTTCGACTTCTCTCTCTCTCTCTCTCTCTCTCTCTCCCCTTCTGTTATAATAGCTCGATTTTGAGTGCGAGAAACCCAAGATCGGGGCGGCACAATGGGGTTAGCTCACCCGCTCCATCGCCCTTCATTCACTTCTGACTCTAACGAGAGAAGTCCTTTCTTCATCAAGGCGATACTTGTCTTTCAAAGGCTCTGTGTTTGCCGCGCTTGATCGCCCCTCTGTGTTCGGAGAGCCTTATTGTGCCTAATAAGCCGAGTGAGGTTAATTATGCATAGAGCGGAGAATCTGCATAATTCAGGGAGCTCGCGTCTCTCTCTCCGTCGTCTTGGGTCGATAACAATTATTAATCTTCCGTTTCTCAAAGCTTCTCTTCGCAAACGTGATCGCCGATACTTGATTGCTTCTTGTGAATTCTTGATGATCCGGCCTTGAAGCACATTTCCATCCATAATTGAAGGTATTTGTCGAGCTCTCGAGCGAGTTCGATGATTTATTTCCCTCCCGGCGCAGAGACGTGTACCCTCTGTGCATTGTGCAGGGGAAAAAGACAAATGATCCCCGAGAATCACGCGCCTTGATCGATGTCGAAGCCGCTCGGGGAGACCTTTTCGCGGGGCTCCTCGCGGACGCCTCATTCCGTATGCAGGACTGAGGAGATCCTGTTTTGAGGAGCGGCGGGCTCGTCTTTCCAATCAAAGATCTGAGCGATCCACGTGGGAATTGCACTAGTTGACGGCGATCGAATTTCGGCGGACTGGGGCTTCTCCGGTTCCCTAATCTCATGCTGGCATTAACGCGATCGCGATCGACCGGCACGTTTCCTGCATGCTGCGGTGTTTTTCACCCGAGTCAGGGAATTTCTCCCTCGGGTCGGCCGTTCGTGCATGAGATGTTGCTCTTCGCACGAGCGTCCGAGTCGGGTGAGAAATCGTCTCGCTTCGGCGAGGAACACTGCGTATCTGTTAAGTCTGTCCCGAAATGCATGAAGGGAAGGGATGCTGAGAAAGTGACGTTGACTCTCGGGTCTGGTGTCCCCCATTATAGGACTTTCGAATGAACATGAACCTTACGCCCATGAACAACGGATATTCTCGGGCTAACGGCCACATTTACGGGCAGGTGGCAATGGAAGAACCGGAATCCGAGACGACCGGCATGCTGCCGTCGTCCACCTCGTCGTATCGGAAGCCGCCACTGTCCACGACGGGATCCTCCTGCTCCTCCTCCCCGTGGAAATTCCCCATCGTCAACCACGCCTACAACACGATCGGGAAGAGCCTCCTGGACAGCCAGAGCGACCTGGCTCACTCGGGTAGGTGGAAGGGGTGTGAAGGGTGTGAAGCGCATCGCGACGCTGACGGTCACGTATGGGGTTCTCTTGGCTCTCTCGGTGGGGTGGACAGCAGATAGCGGATGCGTGCAGGGGGAATATGCAGTACCGGATCTGAGTACGGACTCGACGCTGTTGTGCCATGATTCCAAATTTCCCGTTCCTTCCCCGGCACCGTCTCCTCGCTTTTATAAGAGGACCAATATCTCCACCTGTCCGGTGGCATCGACCCAAACCCAGGCCGTCGAACCCTACGAAACCTACGACCTCTGCAACGGGGTGCAGGACATTCGAAAGCAGGTACGTGGCAGACGGACCCACCTCGTGGGATGTTTTTTTTTGCGACTACTGTGTGACGCACGCTGCAAAAAAAAAATTTTTTTCAGTCCGTCGGTAGCGAGACTGGGAATGGCCTGGTCTGCATTCCCAGATCCCAGTTGCATCTCGTGAAGAAACTTGGCCAGGGTGACTTCGGAGAGGTGAGTGCTCTGAGACGAATGAATGAACGAGTGAGTGACTGGAGCCGTTGTGAGGTTGTATGGGAGATGTTTATTGGAAAAGAACCGAGGAACAATGAGGAAGGAGGGAAAACTGAGAGGGTTTGTATGTGTGTGTGTGTCAGGTGAATCTCTGTGTATTGGAGAACTTCCAAGGGGATGATGGCTCCATCCTCGCCAAGCAGGTCGTGGCTGTGAAATCCCTCGACCCTGCCTCCTCCAATCTTCATCGGTGAGACCCCCCCGTCCTTTCACATCGAGTTCTTTACGGAAGGCCGGATGGAACGAAAGAAAGCTTAGGTCTGAGGGAGTCTGTAAAAGAGGATTCTGTTATATCAAAGAAGGGGGAGGGGGGGCGGGGGGAGTGGGCGTTGGGAACCAGGGGGCGTAAAAATCTTCCTCCTGCGAAGTATCCAGGGAATTGGATTCTCTATCTCATACGGGGGGTGAGACTGGACAGGCGGACATGACAGGACAAGATATTAGCCTGCTCGGATTAGGTGCAGGGGAATGGGAAGATGTCTTACTTCCGATCTCTCTTTCTCTCCCCCCTCCCCATGTCTCGCGTGCACCTCTAATAAAGTTCTTATTGGGTCATGCGGCATGAGGAGAGGAGCTAGGAACAGCTAGACACCAGCTTGACATGATGGGGGAGAATAGGAAGAGGAAGAAAGAGAGGGGGAGGGGGAAATGTAAGCTACGGCTTCCTAATAGAACAGGAAGACGAGGGAGAGAGAGAGAAAAAAAAACTGTTTTCTGAAACCCAAGACTGACGGGAGTGAATTTCTGTTTATTCCTGTTCCGTAGTGATTGAAATCATGTTTGGAGGAATGGAATATCGTTTTTCTCAGGTCTACGTTTTGTGAGGAGTTGAAGATGTTGTCGCAACTGCAAGACGTGAACATTTCCCGGGTCCTCGGCGTATGCAGTGACCAGGGGACGGGCAACCTTGCCGTGGTGATGCAGTACATGGAACACAGTGATCTCTGGCATTACCTTCAAGAACGGTATTACAGTGACTCTGGTACTGGGGGGAGTGGTGGGGGTTGTGACACCCAGACCATCACCTACGGCAGCCTCATATACATCGCCACCCAAGTGGCATCGGGCATGAAGTACTTGGAGTCCCTGAACTGTGTCCACCGGGACGTGGCTGCCAGGAACGTTCTAGTCGGTGGTGGTTCCTCGTACCACGTCAAGATCGCGGATCTGGCCGTGTACCAAGTCCAGTTCTCTACGCACTACTATCGACGAGATGGCGGACCCCCGCTCCCCATCAGGTGGATGGCCACCGAGAGTCTCATACTGGTGAGTCTCTCTCTCTCTCTCTCTTTCTCTCCTTAAATGAAGAATGGTTTTCACGTGATGTATGAGAGGAACGGCCCGTAAATTAAGGCGCTCGCCGCTTTCATAAACTCGCATATCTTATTGACGCTGCAGAGGTCTCCCTTGCTTTCGCATCCTCTTACGAGATTCTAGAGAAACAGAGACCATTTATTACAGAGTAGTGGAGGCAGATCCAATCAAAGTAATGTTGCTTGGTCATTTCTCTGCAATTGAATAGGCCAGGAGGGACCTCCTGTTGTTTCCCCTCGTCTCCATCCGAGCTACTCCCCCTCTCTTTCTTCCTCTTCCTATTCTCC